AACCCCGTAAGACCTTCGTTCGTCTTCGGAACACAAATGAAGATATTTTTGATTAAATTTGAGAGCTGTATAACTACCACATTGGCTCCTAAGGGACTGCCTCTTGACGGCCCAGAAAGTCAATGAAGAAAATGTTTAAATATCCCAAGTGACTACCGTGGCTCAACTATAAGTTTATCAAGCGGCGCGAATACTTTTTGTGCGAAAAAACAAACAAAAATAACGAGTTTATTCGACTATTTCTTTTCTTCCTTGTAGGCCAGAACGAGAATTCCTTAGATTTCCACGACGCATGAGAAATACAATTGGAGCCGTTTTATTTAGTTATTTTATTTATTTTTGAGTCCGAAATTCGTGTCCGAATTTTTTGCGCATTAAAAAATAAATACGACCTCACGTTATGTCAGTCACGCTTGCACACTGCCACTGAAACTTCGTCCATCAAAAAAAAAAAAAAAAAAAAAAAAAAAAATCGAATCGGGTTTTTCGCATCCGTAGCGAGCAGTTTCAATGGCAATTTTGTTTTGACAATTCAGAGCCAGTGAATCGCGAATACGAAAAAACGCATATGGAAATTTCAGTGTGCAAGGGCCTTAAGATGTTTACAGTTATTGCACTTTTCTAATATTTGCCATTTTAATGCGTTGATTTGGTGATGCTACAAGAGCCAGTGCTGTTGTGCTGTTCAGATGCACACTGTTTTATTGATAGTGTGTGTGTGTAAGATGTTTACACTTGCACTTTTCTTATATTTCAAGACTCAAGACATTTTGGGAATGTAAATCCTTACAGTTGCATATTTGTTTTCAGAATGAGATTTTTCCTGTCAACAGGATTTCCTGTTTTTTCTGACCTTATACGTACCTCAAGTTGCCTTTGCATGCATACGTAGTACATATCATGCTTGTTGAGATGAGTTTATTTCAGTATCATATAAAATCAACAACAATAATGATAATAATAATATTAAAGCAAACACAGCTCTGGTATAGGAATAGGATCGGTATCGGACGATATCCAAATTCGGGTAGTGAATAAATGTGGATCGGCGCATCCCTACTGTAAACAAAACAATCTGTTACTGTAATTTCCTATTATCACTGTAAAGCTGCTTTGAACCAATCAATATACAGTAGTTAAAAGCGCTGTATACATGAAGGTGACTTGACTTGACTACGACAAACGGCTGGTAGGAACTACACAGGAAGTCCCGGGTTAGTGACGTCACAAACCCTAAAATTTAGCCCCGCCCACATCACTCTCTAGTCTAGGCAGTTCCCGCGCGAGCGATTTATAGATTTGCATTTAAAGGGACATAAACGAAACGACACGTTTTAGCTCACCCTCAAAAAGGTGGATGCATATTATATTATATCTCTTGTTTTTTTTATTTATGTATTCACGTTTGTACTGTACTTGTAGCACTTTGGGTACAAGAAAAGTGCAATATAAATAAAATGTATTATTATTATTAAAAAAAAAAATTATCTGTAGTGTATTTTGAGCTAAAACTTCACATACACACACTCTGGGGACAGACGTATTTTACATACTGTAAAAAGTGGCATTATACCACCCCTTTAAAAAATATATTTTGAATATTCGTAGATAAAAAAAAATCTAATTTTGAATATTTTCCGAATTAAAAAAAAAAAAAAAAAAAGCGAAAACGTATATTTAAATAAACTAGCCAATGGCTGTTGTTGCCAGTCTGTGGGTTGTGTATGATGGACGCAGGCTCCGATCTTTTAGTTTCATCCAGTTAGATGATTTCAAATGTTTTACATATTGAGCTCATGTTTCTGAATGAGATTGTTGAGTTCGAAACCACTTTTGAAAAGGCTGTAAGTGTGTCGTTGGGTGTTTGCATAGCAGCCAGTCGCTCTTATTGAGTCCTTATCAGTGGCAAGGTGATTACATGGGATGGGAATGTGCAAGATAAGCTTAAGCACATACAGTACGGTGTTACATGTCATGTGTTTCACAGCATTGATTGATAACAATCTGACAAAGATGCTCGTTACTCGTGGCTTTCTCTGATGATTTAGCTTCAGTAAATTATGCTTTTCTTACTCACTATTTCTGTCTTGTTTCCACTCCAAATATCAAAAAATTCTTAAATCAAGATGCATTTACTGTACTAAATGAGTAAAATGTCATTAGATAATGTGTCTTGTTCTAGTTTTTTCCTAAAACAAGCTATGGGGTAATAAAAATAATCTTGTTTTTTGCATTTGAATTAAGATTATTTTTCTAACCCCATTGACAGAAAGTTTAGCTTGTTTTAGAAAAATACCCTCACTTTATTTTTTTTTAACCTTTATTTTTACCAGGAAAGAAGCACATTGAGATTAAAAATCTCTTTTACAAGAGCGTCCTGGCCAAAAAAATGTAGATTTTTCCCCAGAAAACAAGACATATTATCTAATATTCATCTAGTAAATGCATCTTGATTTTAGCGTTTTTAGACATTTGGACTGTAAACAAGACAACAATACTGAGTAAGAATTGTGTTTGCCTACAGTAGGACTCGTCACGTAGCGCAAGGTGGATTGCCCTCGCTTGACTGCACAGAAATGTTGTTTACAGCCAATAAGGACAAAGTTTTAGTTTTATGTAAAGCCGTTGTAAGCCTCATAGAGGAACACTACAACAACAAAAAAAGAAATACTGCAAGTCATCTAATGGCAATGCCAAATGCTGTATAGGCAATCTCAAATAGGCCTGTTTCAAGATCACTAAAAGACAAAAATCGGCCTGACGCACTTTTCAACTTTTGCAACTATGTTGGAAAAAGAAGAAGCTGAAAAACAGAGGTAATTCGACCTGGGCAGTGGAAATTGCTGAAATTCTCACATTACGTTTGCTGAGAGCCCACACCAGGGAGAGGTGGTGTCAGGTGACTGCCAGCTGTCAATCAAACTCAGCACAGTCACACACAACTCTAACGAAGATGATGAGTTCGCATAGCACTCAATGTGTTTTACAATACATATCTGAGATATAGCAAAAAAATATCATGGTAACACTCTACAATAACATTAGTTAACATGAACTAAGAATGAACAATACTTCTACAGCATTTATTAATCTTAGATATTATTAATTTCAAAATTTACTAATAGGTTATTAAAATCAAAGATTGTAGTTAGGGTTAACATTAGTTAATGCACTGTGAACTAACATGAGCAAACAATGACCATCTGGGCTTTTATTATCTAACATAAACAAAGATTAATAAATATTGTATTTGTAACAAATAAATTGCTCATTGTTAGTTCATGTTAATTAATACAATAACTAATGAACCTTATTATAAAGTGTTTATTACAATTTTACACATTCCACAATCCTATCATAATAATTTTTCATGTTAGTCTTATGACTGTTTTGCAAATTGCAGTACAGCCAAACTAATGCTATAACAATAATGACAGATCATTTTATTATCACTTGATTAGTATTTTATCTTTGTTATTAAAAATAAGAACAAAGATGCAAATCACAAATAAGACAAATAAAATAAAAATTGCTTTGATTTTTTTTTCATATAGGTCTATTTAACACAAGCATTCAAGTAAGAAATCGGGTGACACTTAATTTTAAGTTGGCGTAGTTACATTGTACCTAACCATTGTACCTAACTCCTATAAACCCCCCAAAACCTCATTTGAACCCCTACAAACCCCCCAAAAACCTAACTCTACCTAATAAACCCTAACTCTTATACCCTATAAACCCCCCAAAACACAACTTGAACCCCTATAAACCCCCCAAAACCTCACCCAAACCCCTATAAACCCCCAAAAACCTAACTCTAACCCTATAAACCCCAAAAACCCAAGTTGAACCCCTATAAACCCCTCAAACCCTCACTCAAACCCCCATAACCCCCAAAAAACTCTACCCTATAAACCCCTGAAAACCTAACACTACCCTATAAACCACCAAAAAACCAAAGGCGAACCCCTATAAACCCAACTCTACCCTATAAACCCAAGTCGAACCCCTCTAAACCCCCAAAATCCTAACTCTAACCCCTATAACCCCCCCAAAAATATAACTCCACCCTATAAACCCCCAAAAACCTAACTCTAACCCCTATAACCCCCCAAAAAATATAACTCCACCCTATAAACCCCCAAAAACCTAACTCGAACCCCCCAAAAACTTAACTCTTACCCCTATAAACCCCCCAAAACCCAAGGCGAACCCCTATAAATCCCCTAAACCCTCACTCAAACCCCCATAACCCCCAAAAAATCTAATTCTACCCTAAAAACCCCTGAAAACCTAACACTACCCTATAAACCACCAAAAACCCAAGGCGAACCCCTATAAACCCCAAAAACCCAACTCTACCCTATAAACCCCCAAAAACCCAAGTCGAACCCCTCTAAACCCCCAAAATCCTAACTCTAACCCCTATAACCCCCCCAAAAATATAACTCCACCCTATAAACCCCCCAAAACCCAAGGCAAACCCCTATAAACCCAAAAAACCCAACTCTAACCCCTAAACCCTAACTCTAATCCCTTTGAACCCCAAAATAAATTCTTCCTGTTTTGATTTTGGGTTGAGATGTAGTCAGGGCATTTCTCTCAGGAGATTAACCCGAGTGTGTTTTCTCTTTAGTCTTGCCAAGTCTTTATCAGGTGGTCAGGTGAAGACATGAGCTTAATGACCGACTCTTCAAACATTCCTTTCTGGATTCCTATTCAATGACCTTGAGATCGCTGACAATCATTCAGCAAAGCAAAGGTGAGGTAGTGCGGTAATATAACAGACAGCTCACACTCACATTTGCATCTGTTCCTCTCAAATTTGACTTGCAAAATAATCAACTGAGAGATCACACACATCGGCTAGCAAAAGCACTAACCCTGAGATTACATGATGTGCCATGCTGACACCATTGAGAATCGTTATCTCAGCCGGATCAAACCAGTGAGGAACATCTTCCCACTTGTTGACACTGACTGGTCTTACTAGCACATACCTGCAGATCTATGGATGATCAATTCCTCCACGATTTTCCCATTGCGCTGCAAAAACAAAACAAAAAAAAGTCAACTCTTCTGAGAATTAGAGATCATAAGATATAAGAACTATTCTATGAAACGGGTCAATTTTCCAGTTTGACGAGATAATGTTTTGTAAACATTATATCAAACAAATAATGAAATAAATGTTCAAATGTTAATAATTTCCAGATGATATCGTAATATTATTTTTGTTACAATGACGACATAAAATGCATTAATTTTGTTTAAAAAAAAAATAATAATATCACACTTGCTATTTTTCACCCATATATTCAAACCTGAAAAGTGTCACATGGTCATAAATACATACTGTAAATGCGTAATCTAGCTTATATGCTTGTCCTGTACATTTGTGAATAAAAAAGAAAATGAGCATATTAAATTGCTTATTAAAAATTAATGAAGGGTATAATAGATTATGATTGATTTTTTACGACCCTGTCCGTCAAAATGACAGAAAATGCAGAAGTTTAACGCAACCTCTGTGTCCCTCGCATCGAATACTTTAAAAACCAATTTCAACTAATGATAGGATTTTTTGAGACTTCAGAAAGCCCAGTCCAATTGGCTCGGTATTTATTTGTCATAAAAGATTTAATTCATAAAAGAATTTGAGCGATCTTAGGTTGGGTCTGAACTGAAGGAATTAAAAATGGAACTGTTGCAGAAATGCAAAGCAAGTGGGAGAGAGAGAGAGAGAGAGAGAGAGAGAGAGAGAGAGAGAGAGAGAGAGAGAGAGAGAGAGAGAGAGAGAGAGAGAGAGAGAGAGAGAGAGAGAGAGAGAGAGAGAGAGAGAGAGAGAGAGAGAGAGAGAGAGAGAGAGAGAGAGAGAGAGAGAGAGAGAGAGAGAATATGAATGTTAAAGTGCTGCTATTATGCTATTTCAAAAGTTCCTATTTTTGTCTCCAACTGACAACCGGATTATATGTGTATATATATATTATATATAATCCGGTTGTCAGTTGGAGACAAAAATAGGAACTTTTGAAATAGCATAAAAGTTCTCTCTCTCTGTGAATATACGTATATGTATGTACTGTAAATAAAAAAATAAAAACACTTACATTTTTTTATAATATACAGTACATTGCAGCATTGTAATGTTTCTAAGAGAGAAAACTGTAATTTCAAAGATTCAGTCTCTCCAGTCTGTTGTGATTGGTCTACTTTGCTCTGATTGGTCAGATGGTCCAGTCTGTTGTGATTGGTCTACTCTGCTCTGATTGGTCAGATGGTCCAGTCTGTTGTGATTGGTCTACTCTGCTCTGATTGGTCAGATGGTCCAGTGTGTTGTGATTGGTCTACTCTGCTCTGATTGGTCAGATGGTCCAGTCTGTTGTGATTGGTCTACTCTGCTCTGATTGGTCAGATGGTCCAGTCTGTTGTGATTGGTCTACTCTGCTCTGATTGGTCAGATGGTCCAGTCTGTTGTAATTGGTCTACTTTGCTCTGATTGGTCAGATGGTCCAGTCTGTTGTGATTGGTCTACTCTGCTCTGATTGGTCAGATGGTCCAGTCTGTTGTGATTGGTCTACTCTGCTCTGATTGGTCAGATGGTCCAGTCTGTTGTGATTGGTCTACTCTGCTCTGATTGGTCAGATGGTCCAGTCTGTTGTGATTGGTCTACTCTGCTCTGATTGGTCAGATGGTCCAGTGTGTTGTGATTAATCTACTCTGCTCTGATTGGTCAGATGGTCCAGTGTGTTGTGATTGGTCTACTCTGCTCTGATTGGTCAAATGGTCCAGTGTGTTGAGATTGCTCTGATCGGTCATACATAAACTATCTTTTATATATTTTTGGCATCAAAATTTGTATATTTGATATCACAGCTCACTGAAGTTTGAAGAAAACCGAGTAAGCAGAGGACAGCAAAGCCGGCCTCAAAATGATAGTAAAATCTATATAAAAAAAAATCACATCAGTTGATTTTTGTTGATGTGCTTAGAAATAATACCATTTTATTAACACATAGTAAAAGTTGGTTTACATTATTACATATGAGGGAAAAAGATCTCAGCAACAAAGACACCCTTACTTACAACTGCAGCTAATGGAAAGTTCAGCTTTCAGAGCTGCGCATTCATCCTTTACACAGCGTAGGACGCGTGGAGCTCAACACAAAGACCTTTAAGGTAAAAATGAACTAATATAAGATAATTGCCGCTATTAAAATCTTAATATGGAAGGAATGTGACAAATGTGTTAATTACAGCAGATGACAAAGACCAGCCGTTACAGTGTAAGAGAGAGTGAGAGTTGCGTTGGAAAGAAACACAGATTAAACTTCAGCCAGTTGCATTGCCAGTTTAGCGCTTTGAACTTTGTTTCCTGGCACTAATTCAGAGGCTAATTCAAAGGACTATAGAATCATGGAAATCACGGAAAGAGGCATGCAGTGTCGCTGCTCTCCGCTCTCTTACATCTTGGTGTCTGAAATATGCCTGAAATGCAATGTAATTATGGGATAAAAAGCACATCTACCACATTCTGAATGCCTTTTTTAATGAGCCAAAATGACAAACGTTTCAAGGAAGACGCATCAGCGCAACCTAAATGCGTCTCTAGAGCACACATTGTGTTTATCGTGCAATTTATACGCGAAAATGAGTTTTTATGTGCATATGATAGTAGTGGTGTGGGGTGCATGTGTATTATACGTTTGGGTAGGATTAGTGGTGTGCGCGTGTATTACATGCAATAAAGTGCGTATCAAATGCACATGAAAACTGTGTATAAATATGCATGTAAAAACTAATTTTCGCATATAAATTGCACGATAAACACAATGTGCACTATAGAGACGCATTTTCATAAGATCAGGCAGATCAGCGACATGAGTGATGCGACAACTTGTCTATGAACAGCGATAATATTTAAGACTCTTTGTACCATTAAAACATGGCTTGCATTTCAGCGTGGGATTGCAGGTTTCCCACTTATAATGGGAATTTCCAGCATTATTGACATTTATGCATTTGGCAGACGCTTTTATCCAAAGCGACTCGCATTGCATTTCAGGTACACACATTTTACATTCTTATCAGTTCTTGCTTGCCCGCAAACATTGATTTGTCAAGCAAAAAAGCAATTTTATTACTCGTTCGCTCTCTGAGAGATGGTTTCTCTGCACCCATACAGTAAAGCCACATCACAAACAGCTTGCCAGTAACAAAAGTTATTTTTCGCGGATTATATCGCTTTAACGGGGAAAAAACACGCGAAATTGTGTCAAAGTTCCAGTCTTGGTTAGTAAACTCTTAAACACAAGTTAGTTATGTCTTAAATAAGCATAAAACATGTAACAGTGTGACAGACAAACAGTCATGGATCCGTGCACTAGCTCAAGTGTCAGCAGTCACAGGCCTACTGTCTGTAATTAATGTTGTCGTCAAAACAACAAAAGATAGCTTTAATTGTAAGGAATCAGAATTACTAGCCTATGTATTTCATTTAGTAAGGACTAACAGACTATCAGTGCTATTTTTCATTTGATTACTTTACTTATTTTCTGTACTAGAACTACCACAAAATATTTATCTTTATTTGTATCTCATTATTTTATATTAATTTTTGCTACTTTTTTTCAGTTTAATTAAAAGATTGAAATCAAGGTTCCTTGTGTTGTGTAAACTCTGAAAAACAAAATTACCACATTGTAAAAAAGCATTGAGTGAGCAAACATTTCGTTTGTTTTATGCTTGTTTCAGGTTTTGTTCACGTGTTTTATGCTTGACAGAAATATGCAACAGAAAAATGGTCTAAAAAATTCAGACCCTGCATTAAAACTTCCTGCAAGTTTCATAAATTGTCCTCCTCATTATAAACAAAGCATTTATTTAATCAAGCTCCAAAAACAGCTTGTTTTGTTATTGATGGATCTGTGATGTCACACAGGCAAATACATTTGCATGTGCCTGACTCCAGAGCAAGATATTGACAAATAGTATACAGTACATCATCTCATCATAGGCTCCGCCCACTGTCGTTTGTCACTTAACAGCTGATATTTGCCTAAACTGGACGTGACCGTTGCGTCAAAAGCAAATATGAGCCAGTATGATGACTGATACAGTATACAGATGTGTGTTCAGATTATAATGACTGACTCTGATACACTGATACAGTATACAGATGTGTGTTCAGATTATGACTGACGCTGATACACTGATACAGTATACAGATGTGTGTTCAGATTATAATGACTGACGCTGATACACTGATACAGTATACAGATGTGTGTTCAGATTATAATGACTGACGCTGATACACTGATACAGTATACAGATGTGTGTTCAGATTATAATGACTGACGCTGATACACTGATACAGTATACAGATGTGTGTTCAGATTATAATGACTGACGCTGATACACTGATACAGTATACAGATGTGTGTTCAGATTATAATGACTGACACTGATACACTGATACAGTATACAGATGTGTGTTCAGATTATAATGACTGACTCTGATACACCGATACAGTATACAGATGTGTGTTCAGATTATAATGACTGACACTGATACACTGATACAGTATACAGATGTGTGTTCAGATTATAATGACTGACGCTGATACACTGATACAGTATACAGATGTGTGTTCAGATTATAATGACTGACGCTGATACACTGATACAGTATACAGATGTGTGTTCAGATTATAATGACTGACGCTGATACACTGATACAGTATACAGATGTGTGTTCAGATTATAATGACTGACGCTGATACACTGATACAGTATACAGATGTGTGTTCAGATTATAATGACTGACGCTGATACACTGATACAGTATACAGATGTGTGTTCAGATTATAATGACTGACGCTGATACACTGATACAGTATACAGATGTGTGTTCAGATTATAATGACTGACGCTGATACACTGATACAGTATACAGACGTGTGTTCAGATTATAATGACTGACGCTGATACACTGATACAGTATACAGATGTGTGTTCAGATTATAATGACTGACGCTGATACACCG